GGGGCGAGGATGGATCTCGGTTTGGCGGGTGGTGGGGCGGGGATGGGGATAAAAACCATACCCGCCATGGATGATGGAGCGGGGGTGGATTTTAAGTTGTTCCCGCTCAATCCCCGCCCCGCCCCACTTTGTACCCGCCCCATCCCCACCTCATACCCACATCTATATATCTTTTTAAAGCAAAATTACATACTTTTATTCTATTTATAAAATAATTACATGAAATACAATATTAATTATAATACTTTGTACGACACTTATATTATAACACAAAAATGTGTATAGAATGTTTTATTTTATAATTCGCATTAATTATGTAAGATTGTGTGTTTGAGATACTGATATTAGGTGGATCTTGGGTGGGGATTAGGCGGGTCTTTGGTGGGGATTAGGTGGGGATGAATATCCAAGTGGGAGATGGGGCAGGGATGATTTTGGAGTTGTGCCCGGTGGGGCGGGGATGGGGATGAAAATTGGCCCCGCCGCGGGGATGGGGATGGGGATGATAATATTAGGTGGGGATGGGGATGGGAAGGCCAACATCCGCCCACCGCCCCATTGACATCCCTAAATGAAATCCTTTTCTTCTTGTCAAAAAAAAAATTAGTTATTGTACATTCCAATAAATTGACCATATATGACTACATAGTACATACTCCAATAAAGATGGTATCATTTTATTTTTTGGTGTGCTTTGTTGGATGATAATTTGACCTTGGCAATTTTTTTGGTGTGCTTTGTCGAAACAAAACGGCGCGACTAATTCTATTAAAACGACATCAATAGAGTAGAGCTAAATCAGGTCAATTATTATTAGCATGAAAAAAAAAAACATGATCAAAGGCGTTGATGAGTAACCACCACTGGATTGCTGCCATATGCAGTCTTTGTTTATAATTATAATATTAATTAAAAGTAATAATAATAAAAAATTTATTAATTAATCATTTATATTCTTGCCCAAAAACAAGACTGAAGAATAATTAATTAAAAAAATAAATAAAAAAATACAGTAACAAAAATTAAATTTTAAAAGATTTTAATACGCATGTAAACAAAAATTAAAAAAGAAAAGCATAGTGTAAATCATATACAAATAGAAGAGATAAGGACAACCCAAAATACATACTAACGAGTATATTATTGCAGTAATTTGCCAATTACTATCGCAAGTTAATACCACTTTGTAAATTACTACCGCAAATTTAAAAAGTTGTGAATTACTACCGCAAAAAATTTTAAGATGTTGCGATTACTACCAAACCCCCATTAAACCCAACTATGACGTCATTATATTCCTTTAACTCGTGTTTGATCAGAGTTAAGGGCTTTAACCAGCCCCCCAAAAAAAGAAAATGGATTAGGGATATAATGACATCATGGTTAAGGGCTTTAACCATGGGTTAAAGTGATATAATGACGTCATAGTTGGGTTTAATGGGGGTTTGGTAGTAATCGCAACATCTTAAAATTTTTTGCGGTAGTAATTCACAACTTTTTTAATTTGCGGTAGTAATTTACAAAGTAATATTAACTTGCGGTAGTAATTGACAAATTTTCCATATTATTATTATGAAAGCATAGTGTAAATCATACACCCGCTTCACCACGACAGTCATTTCAGGCGGTTTAACAACCTTAAGAAAGGAAAACGACTGCTGGTTTGGAAATGCACTGACTTTAACCGGAGCCATTCTTTCTTGCTGTTTGTCCCTCCTCATTTTCAGAAGATTGATGAACGGGAGAAAGATTATAAATTTTAGTTGTAACAAATTAAATAGTGGATTGCTAAACATCGCCCGCAAATCTCCACATAAAGCCTTAATTTTTTTTAATTTTTTTTTTTTTGGAAAATCAGAAAATTTTTCTAATTTTTTTTTTTAATGTGTTTGATTTTTTTTTTAATATTTATTAATTTTATGTGTTATTTTTTATAAGTCTAGTATATATATTTTTTATAAAATCAAATAAAAAACATAAATTTCCACATCCTAAATCAAAACATAAATTTAATAAACATAATTTAAAAAAATAAAAAAAAAAGGCAAAAAAAAAAAAAAAATTAAAAAGTAAGGGCGGCGTCCAAACCAGACGCCAGTGCACTGGTGGTGGCGCCTTGCCTGGACGCCAGTGCACTGGTTGAGGCGCCTGGGCTAGACGCCAGTGCACTGGTTGTGGCGTCTGGCCTGGAAGCCAGTGCACTGGTTGTGGCGCCTTGCCTGGACGTCCTTGCCATGGTTCCGGCGTCCAAACTAGGCGCCACCTCGTTTTCCGTCGAAGACGACGTATCTCCGGCGACCCTCGCCTCTCCGGCCTCCCTGGGCAACCCAGTACGACTCCACATTTGTTAGATCGAGATTTGTTCACTTTGGGTACGATTTTAGAAATGGGCAAAATTGTCAAACCATGTCTAATTTGTGGGCTTTATGTGGAGATTTGCGGGCGATGTTTAACAAATCCCTTGAATTTACCTTACCCTAAACCTAAAATAAAAAAATCTAACCCATACCCACACTCTAATAACCCGAAAATACGGCAATGTCGAGGCGGCAAGGTAAGGACTTGGCGGCCACAGCGGCTGAGGGAAGGACGGCTCACGGTGGCAGGGTTTTTTTTTAAAAAAAAAAATTAAAAAAAAAAACCAGAAGTGGTGGGGCGCCTGGCCAGGACGCCCAGCCCCTGGTGGTGGCGTCTGCTCCGGCCGCCGGAACCAGGGGGCTGGCGTCTGACCTGGACGCCTAGCCACGGTTGTGGCGTTTTCCAGAGGCGCCACCGCAGTCGCTGGGCGTCCAGGTCAGACGCCAGCCCCCTGGTTCCGGCGGCCGGAGCAGACGCCACCACCAGGGGCTGGGCGTCCTGGCCAGGCGCCCCACCACTTTTTTTTTTTTTTTTTTTTTGGAAAATCAGAATTCTTTTGTTAATGTTTAATATTTTTGTTTTATGTGTTAATGTTTTTTTTCTAATATATATATATATTTTTTTTTTTGAAAATCAGAATTTTTTGTGTTAATGTTTAATTTTTTTTGTTTTATGTGTTAATTTTTCATATGTGTTAATTTTTTTGTATGTGGTAATTTTTTGTGTTAATAAATAGTGTTTAAATTTTTTACATTATGTAAAATTTTTATTTGTAAATTTCATTTCTATATATAATTTACACATACAAAATTAAATATAATTTTATTAACACATATTTAAAACATAATTTCAAATTAAAACAATTTTTTTTTGAACTTATTAACACATATTTAATTTCAAATTTAACAAAGTTAAAAAACCACAAAAAAAAACAAAAAAACAAAAAGTTTAAATAAAATTACAAAAAGTTTAAATAAAATTACAAAAAAAAAAAAAAAAAATCAAAAAGTAGGGGTGGCGTCTGGCCAGGACGCCACAGCCATGGTGGCGGCGTCTGGCCAGGACGCCTTAGCCATGGTGGCGGCGTCTGGCCAGGACGCCACAACCGTGGTGGCGGCGTCCTTGCCAGGCGCCACTTCCACGGTTGCGGCGTCCCGGACAGACGCCACCGCCATGGTGGCGGCGTCCTGATCATATGCCACCCCTACTTTTCTTAATTTTTTCCCCGGATTATCTCGCTTTCCGGCGACGATGACGGCTCTCCGGTGTCCCTCGGCAATCCACTCCAGCTCCACATTCTTCGTGAGAGTGAATTACGGTTTCGGTAAAAATTAGAAAAAGGGCAAAAGAGTCAAAGTAAAAATAATTGTGGGCTTCATGTAGAGATTTGTGGGCGATGTTTAACAAATCCCATTAAGAGATTATTAATTTATTTTAGAATTAATTAATTCAAATGTCAAGCAAGCAAAATTGGTGAATGATATTTTTACGTTTAAATTAATTAAATGTAAAATATTATCTTTTGACATTAGAAATTTTATCTAAATATGTATCAGTAACAAATTTTAGCACATTTAAAAAAATTAAAAATTCAAACAAATGCACGGGCTTCATCTAGTAATCTAATAAATCTAAAATATTTCGTTCACTCTTAATTTGGTCACCATTAAATAATTTGCTCATACTAAAAATTCATATTCAATTACCTAACTCATAAAATATTGCTCACCAAGTCACCAATAAAGAATTTGCTCACCCCTAAAAATTATATACAACTACCTCTCTCATAAATAGTTTTTTTTTTTTACAAAAAAATCTCCCTTAAATAAATTGTCCACGTCAAACTCTGAAATAGTTTCCTTACCCCTTAAGAATATGCTCATCATCAAATAATTTGTTCATCTATTAAAGGAAAATTTGCAAATTGCAGCCATTTAAAGTTCATATTTTGCAAATTGCAGTCATTTAAAATTTTTTTTGCAAATTGCAGCCCAAAAGTTTGTATAAATTGTAAATTGTAGCCCGATTCGATTTTTTCATCGGTTTACATGTTGAAAAATCTTCATTTAAGGTTTTAGGGGTCACTTTAGCCCTTAAGAGCCCGAATTGAGCTCAGAATTAGCAAAAAATAACGTAAGTGTCTCATATTTACAGTTTCCCACAAATCGATACATTTTTGTTACGCAAAACGAGATACTTAAGGGGAAAAAAAGATTCATTTTTTTAATAAATTCTTAAGGAAAATAAAAAGAAAAAAAAAATGAGTCATGGTCCCTAAACTCTTGCCTAGTCATCAAAGTCCCTCAACTTTTGGCTACAAACACCAAAGAAGGTGGTTGAGGGACTAAAAAGGAACAAAATAGTTTAGAGGGACTAAAATGGCACAAATACGATAGTTTAGGGACCATATTTAGTCTTTACTCATTTCTCACATTTAGTGGACCCAACATAATACTCCATCTCCTCCTATTCTTCCACTACTTGTGTTTTTTATAATTTTTTATCCTCTCCACTACCCAACTACCTCCATATTTTATTACTTTCTACAATTTCTCCTAAAATTTTGCGCATAAAAAAATGAAGCAAGTATTTAAAAACGGAGGTACTTCTTTGCAAATAATATATTGTTGTGACATACTGCATTGATGCAATTACATTCTAATTTCTATATAAAGTTGGAGAAATAAATGATAAAAAAAGTACATGAACTTGCTAGAAATCTTTACAAGTATATGAACACATGAAAATTTAGTGATCATTTAAACCATTTTACATTAATTAGCCTAGGTAAAACTAACATCATAAGCCTTCATACCATTAAGCTCAAAAACTCCAAAATGCTTCTCGTACTCTTGTCCATCCTTCTCATTTTCATCAAACATATCAAACAAAAACACCTCCACTCCAACACCCGGCCTCATAGGAGTCCCAACATCTCCTCTAGCACGTCTAACAACATTCCCATTGTACATCCTAGCATTATCCGGGCTCGCGCCCTCGCCCCCACCCGTAGGCCACCCTCTCTCCGTCACCACGATTCGTACCCCAGGGAACCCCTCCCTCTCCATAGCCGCCACCAACGAGTCCAATGTGGCATCGAACAAGTTGTTATAGTACAACTCATTATCCAACATGTACCCTTGGGAGTTAAATAGGGCATAGTCTACACCAATATCTTTTTTGTTATTAATGTAACTAAAAAAAGGGTATATATTTACCATAAAGGGTGAATCATTTTGTTGTAAAAATTGTAACAAAGGGATCATTTGTTGTATAATTTCATAATTAAAACTCCCATTAGATGGAGGAAAAGACGTCCCAAGAACACACGCGGCTTGGTGAAGGTTCCAAATTGAAGGAACAACAAATGGTGTGTAATAAGGATCTTTAACAAAAACCACCATTTAATTAGCTAATGAACAATTAACAGAAATATTTTCCTCAAAAAAAAAAAAAAAAAATTAACAGAAAATTTAATCAGTTATTATATTCAAAGACAGTAACAAAAAAAAAAATAAAAATAAAAATAAAAAATAAATAAATAAAAAAAAAAAAAAACTTCACCAGTACGTATTGACTATTCTCTTCCCAGCAACCCAACCATAATATGTACAGAATTAACAAAATGACATATTAAAAATACGATCAAGAACTGAAGAACATTATTATTACGACTTACGAGTAACAAAATTACACTGAGTTTTTTCCTAAAAAAAATAAAAAATAAAAAAATTACACTGAGTTTTAACAAAGATTAACAATGGCTGAGTTTTCAACCAAAATTAACAACGAATTCCACAATTACAGACGACGAGGACTCCCTAAAACAAAAATAAAATCAAAAATACAAACTGACACTCCCTGCTAAGAACACTACCGACCGGGCACAAGCGCCTCACAGCCATTTCTTGAATTCGAATTCTTCTCTCTTTCACTCAGAATCGGGGTGACTACAACCGTTCTTAATACAGACTTCCTTCATCCGGGCAGCCGCCATTTCAGTATTATTCAGTTTAAGTGAAGGAAAAGACTGCTTGGTTTGAGAGACACTTACTGTAACGGGAGCCTTTCTCTGTTCCTCTTTGTCCCTCCTCTTCTTGAGAAGATAAAAGAAAGGGAGAACGAAAAACGGCAGTTTAGGTTCTGGAGGGGTAGCTCCCGAACGTCGACCACGGCCGCCGCTCGAGCCACCACCTCCGCCGCCGAATGGACTGGGTGAAGGAAGTGAAGTCATTGGAGGTTGCGATTTGCGAAGGCGAAGTTTAAAGAAATATTTCAGTTTTTTTTTTTCCGGAAATTTCACCATATACCACTCATTTTAAGCTTAATTCACCGTATACCACCAAAAACTTTCTAATACACCATATAACCTTCAGTTTTATGGAAATGTCACAACATGTCATTAATGACCAACGGAGGTTAACACCGTTAGTCATTAAGGTTAATAATGCCACGTGGCACTCAATAATTGGACCAAATAAATAAAGTTAAAACAAAAACAAAAATATGTAAAAAAAAAAAAATATGAAAAAAAAACCCACCACCCACCCCCCAAGCCATGCGAAACCCTAACTGTTACCCTAGGCCAACCTAAAACCGGTCGGCCGCCACCCTAAACCCCCGAAATCGGCCGGCCGGAACCCCCCTATACAAACAACCACCCCGCCGATCTAAGTCCAACTTCAAAATCACCACTTGACCCAAATCCTACCCCCGAAACCACCATAACCACCACCCTTAAAACACCATCGAGCCTCGAAAAACCCCTCTAACCTTCGCAAATCACCGAAAACCTCCATCCAAGCCCCGATTAACCCCTCTAACCTTCGCAAAAAGGCCGAAAACCTCCATCCCATCCCCGATTAACCCCTCTAACCTTCACCACGAAACTTGCCGAAAACCACCACCAAGAAACCCCAAAACACCAAAATCGAAACCCTAGATTTTGGTTTTAGGGTTTCGGCATATGTGGTGGTTCAATGGGGTGGAGATTTCATCGGGACAGGGCGAATTCGTTTGTCGACGCGAGGGAGGGGGGTTTCGACGTCGGCCGGCGTTTAGGGGACGGTTTTTCGAGGGAGGTAGGGGGGTTTTTGAGGTGATTCAATGGGGTTTTCGAGGGAGGCACGATAGTTCAGGGGAAGGGGAGGAGCGCCGGCGGAGGTCCTGGTCGGATTCCGCACCGGCGAGGGAGTTCGTTGGCGGTGGCTGGCAGGGGGTGTCGTTGGTGGTGGATGGCTGGGGGAACGTTGGTGGTGGTTGATTTTTTTTCTTTTTTTTTTAATTTTTTCAATAATTAATCTAATAATTATTTTAAAATTAAATTATTTAGAAGAGAACAAATCACAAGCTGCCACGTGGCATTATTAACCTTAATGACTAACGGTGTTAACCTCCGTTAGTCATTAATGACATGTTGTGACATTTCCATAAAACTGAAGGTTATATGGTGTATTAGAAAGTTTTTGGTGGTATAAGGTGAATTAAGCTTAAACTCAGTGATATATGGTGAAATTTCCGTTTTTTTTTTTAAATGCGAGTTGTGTCTTAAAATAATGTGGGCCCCTTGCTTTATATAGAGTTTTTTTTTTTTAAGTTAATTGTTCTTGAAAAAAAAAAGTTAATAAATAAAATAATTAATTAATAAATAATTTGAAAAAAAAAGTTTTCAAAGCAGGGGTAAAATGGTAAATAGACTGACTCATAAAGAAAATCCTGACCGTCTAATAAAGAAAAAGGAATTTACTGACTGACTGACGGTTTGACCTAGATGAGGGGATGGAGAACCAATACCGTGGACAACAAGTGATTTCATCGGAGAGCCGCCGCCTGGAGTTGTGATAATCGGAGTTTCGCCGGATTCGAGCGTCGGAAGCACCGTCATAGGCGGCAGAGACTCGAGATCAGCATTTGGTTAGAGATTATGTGAAACCTAACACCGTGAGCGTAGGAGTGAACTCCTCGAGTCGTCGACGGCGAATATCGTCATGTTTTAGAAAGTGACGAGCTCGTCGTAATTGACTGACATCGCGAGTGCGAGGAAGCTGTAACCGCTCAATCGGAGCCGGATTCCGACGGAGGTGACGGTTTAGCAGCGACCGGGGAGAATCGACTCAATTTAGGTGCCGAAAATGAGTTGATTGAGGTAATCCAGATGATAGATGCCAGGAACAGTGTGCTCCTGGAGAAGGAGAGTGAGCGAGCACGAAGAGCAAGTTCGCACCGAAGCATCCGCCGGAGCGAAGACGGTGACAGGGCCGAGCCACGGCGAGTGCGAGGCGGAGGACAGAGAGAACGAGTGAAGCCGAGTTCGGCGAGGATTTAGGTGATGGAGTTGAGAGGAGAGAGAAATTCAGGCGAACGCAGAGCTTCGGAGGAGTACGGAAATGGCGGCGGAGGAGAGGCGGTGGAGTAAGGTGAGGTTGAAGATGAAGAGAATATGAAGGTTGATGTTGATGACTGAGCATCAATGGCGGCAGGGAGGACTGAAAGTGAGGAGAAAATCACCATGAAAATGATGGCAAGGTGTGGCAGAGACGCCATTGTTGAGAGCTTGAAAATGGAGGAGAGAGAGTGGAAGATTGAAAAAAATGAGAAAGTTGTGTGAGCTTAGATTCTGCTGACGGTTATGGGAGGGTATTTATAATAGAAATAAGCCACATTGCCACGTTGGCGATTCTATATCCTTCTATCTTCTATCTTCCCTTATACCATGAAATAGAAATAGTTTAAAACAAATTTATTTATAGAAAATGTTTTTTTTTTTTTTTTTTTTTTGTTTTTGGAAAAAATAGAAAATGTTGTTAATTATGTGAATAGAGTTGAAATTATGTGAAAATATAAGGCTAAATGAGAATTAGGAATGTGTTCTCTGTGCTCGTTAACGACATTATTGTAATAATTTCGCATGACAACTTTTAAACGGATATTTAGATTTTCTTACTTTTAGCAATTTCATTTTCTTTATGATTGATTTCATTTACTTTTATTAAGTTTTCTTTTATTTTTTAGAAATGAAACATGAAACTAGTTATTAAAGTTGAAATCCGAGTATTATGAAAATGTCATTGATCACACGGGAAGCATATTGTGGTTGTGACAAAATTTAAAAATGTTCCTATCATACAACTATATATATACCACCCATCTATATTACCCATTCACCATAAGAGCTTAATTATGCAGTGATGTATTGGAGAGTTGTTTGACAAATGTCGTTTCACCTCTAAGTTATTGGTTTGGACCTACTTTAGCATACACTTGATTGTGGAACAAAAATAGACTGAACATATGAAATCATTATTTAACCTTGAGCTACATTACAAATTTATCCTTTCCTTTGGTTAGTTAAAGGATGATGGCATCGATTTAGCTAATATTAATCACTTTTACATGCACTAACCCCCTTGCTCTACTTCCACCTTCTGGTTCAATGGAAATCTCTGCTTGGTGACTCATTTAGGAGTTGCGGGCTTTGTTTTAGTCTATTTTGATTTGTTAGGTTCAAAAGGTTCCTCGTTTGTGGGTCAATCATGCTCACTGGTTGGCTGGTTGTGCTCGGTGTCGTCAGTTGTTGTATTTTCTGTTTTAGTTTTTTTTTTTTTTTTTTTTTTTTTTTTTTTTTTTTTTGGTTGACAGTTGTTGTTTAGCTATTGTTCCTTTTATTTGATAGCTCTTTTGTCAAGTATTGGCTTTGTTCGGTCTTTTTTGGGAAAGCTTTATAGCTTACCACCGAGCTTGTTAGAGGTTTTAGAGGTTTTACCATTATTATAAAAGTTACACCGTAATTTGAGTTTTCTAAACATAAGCCTTTTAAGATTAGCTTATTGATGAAATATTTCATAAGTTCATATATACTTCGTATATATTTAACTTTTTGGTTTTTACTATATGTAGACTGAATCAAATAACAATTAACAACTACTTTATTTACCAAATACTTTTATATTGTCAACTCTTTACAATTGACTAAGACCATGTTCTCGATCTTCACCTTAAAAAAATAATATTACGTAAAAATAATTTCAGTTCTGTAAAAATAAGTTCAGTTCATTAAAATTAATTTCAGTTCAGTAAAAATAATTTCAATTCAGTAAAATTAAGTTCAGTTCAGTAAAATTCAGTTTTCTTAAAGAAGAATTATAATAGAAAATCAGTAAAAATAATTTCAGTTCATTAAAAATAATTTAAGTTCAGTAAAAATAATTTCAGTTCAGTAAAAATAAGTTCAGTTCAGTAAAAATAATTTTAGTTAAGCAAAATTAAGGTGAATCAAACAGGGCCTAAGCTAGTCAAACTAGTTATATCTATCAGTTGCGTACCAGCTACTTTGTATTTATCAAAGTAGGCATATATGACTATATATGATACATTAATAAGATCCACACTCGTTATAATTATTAAACAATCATCATTATTTCGCAATATATTTAATATGAGATATTGAGATACAAAAAGTAATAAAATAAGCGTTTAAAATAAAATTAGTACGACTAATATTGAAAATTTGGAATGCAGCCTCAAACTAGATTTTAAGAAAATAAAAAGAAATAACTATATGATTACTCTGTATTTGAGTAGGTTAAAATCCCGATTGATAATCGTGTTGAGAATTTGACATTAAATCTATGCTATAAAAATAAAATCGTAACTGCACATATGAATTATATTTGGCAAGCAAATTCATTCTTTTATCAACTTGATTCCTTACGAAATTTGATGCAAAGATTTCTTACACACAATATGAATCAACAATTATTTTGAAAGAGATAAATATAATCAATAATGATACTTTAGCAACAATAACGGTTGGCAATGAAATCATTGTGGCTAAAAATGATATTTTGGAACTAAGAGATTTCAAATGGAAGTTTAACTTATTATTACCATATAAAAGATTATTATAGGAGTATTATTACTCCATATTATGTAATTAACTTTGATTTTTACGAAAATTTGGTGACAACTATCCTTGTCATAAATTATAATGATATTTTGACACGTTTTATAGTTTCTACATTGTAACAAAATAATCTCTGATTATTTTATCCTAATAACTCCAATGGAATTTTTATTTTTGTTAACTAAATCATATTTTATCATTCAAATTTCCATTTTAATTAATCATACTTGATTACACAACCTTAATTTCCAACCTAATATGGAAGCTCAAAGCCACAAAGTAACGTTAATATCTTAAGAGTTAAAATTGAGATTATATTATGTAATTAGTTAAGCAGATAGCAAGCTAAGTCAAAGAGATTTTACTTTGGCAATATTAATGATAAGAGATTCACAAAGTTGGCACAAGTTGTCTTACCATATATGAAGGATATTTGGTGATTAATAACACTCTTTGCTATCTCTATAAAAGCCCTTCATCTAATTAATCTTAGTACTCTCTTAAACTTTAATCTCATTCAAGCTAATAAACACCCTTGTAGCCATGGATGTAAAGTCATCGTCGAGTTCTTTAGAGACTCCGTATAATTCTAGCTCTAAAAACACCATGCTTGACCTTAAGCTTTCGAGCTTTAGTCAAGATTTATCAACCCAACAAGCTAATGGTGACGTGATTAAGGAATTATCATCCGATCACCAAAAACGTATTAAGCCTCGTATTAGAGATTTTACGTGCAAGTATTGTCCTGGGAGGTTCTCTACCTCCCAAGCTCTAGGTGGTCATCAAAATGCTCATAAACAAGAGAGGGCTCGCGATAAGATGAGACAAGCCACGGGGTTCTCACCTTATTCGAGTACCAATAACTTGTACCAACCTTATTTTGGTATGTACAATAACATATCATACGGTGGATATTTCAAAAGGTCACCCCTTGGTGTTGTCAAAACGAATTCCATGATTCATAAGCCGGGTTCGGGCTATCGTATGCCAATGTACCAAGGCTATCGACACGGGTATGGTAGCACAAACCAGCCTAAAACATTGTTGTTAGGAAATTCTCAAATATCATCATATGATAATTTGAGTATGTCAAATAATAATGTTAAGAACAATTATTCTCCATTCAATAACTTGAATAATCTTTCGAAATCATTGCCTACTCTTGTTGAAGGAGGTTCGGCTCAAGTCCTACGTGGCATAGGCGAAAATGTGATCGTTGAGAGTGATAATTCTAAGAAAGGAGAGCTTCGTATTGATGGTGGTAAATTAGATCAAGTGAAGCCAGAGAAGTCAGGCCTTGATTTGTCCCTTAGGCTATAATTTTTTTTTTTTTTTTTTTTTTTTTTTTTTTTTTTTTTTTTTTTTTGGTGTTTAGAGAGCCACAAGGGCGGGTGATGAGTTTCGCTCTAACCACTTGAGCTATCCCTTGCACTCCCCTTAGGCTATAATTTATATGTATTTTAATTAATATTATTTATTGTTTATGGCAATTGAAGCCTTTTTCATTTGTTTAATTGGTTTGTTTACATAATTAGACGATTTTTATTTATGTGTGTGCTTTATTGGTCAAATACATAATCAATAAATATTCAAGGCTCTTTTTAAAAAAATGAGTGTTAAATTGAATTGACTACATATTAGGTACAATAATTTCTGATCTGATACATTGTTTACAAATCATTTGTTGCAACTCTATCTTTTTCAATAACTAAGATCACCAAATTAAATTGTTAACTACATAAGTAATATATATTTAATACGTATAGTACGAATTATTTTTGATTCATTAGTTATAAAAAAACACCATACATTCTTTCGTACGGGAGATTTCATAATCATTACATCATATCGTTGTTTGTTATTCATTCATGAGAAATACAAAGTGTTTTTATATGCAAGCTTCTATATGTGATGAGTACTACATATATTGATATATATTAAATTGCCTTCACTTTTTTCCTTAACTTTAAAATATTGCTTTCAGTTTTCTTTAGTTTATTCATTTGTATTTCCTACCAAAAAATATATTTATAAAAAAAAATAATCTTTTGTATTTTGAGGGGACTTGCGAAACAAAAAGATAAAGAGGAAAAAAAAGTATTTCCCTCCCAAATCCCTTACCATAACAAGTAAACTGTCAAGTGCAACCGGCAGTTATTATTCAAATTAAAACGCTCCAAAACCATGCAACTAACCCTTCTCTTTGTATATAAAAATAACCAAACTCCTCATACATTTTTCAGTTTCCAGTTTTTAGCATTTTGTCTAAGAAAAATATTTCTTTCTTCTCTGATTTTTCTTAGTGACAATTAATTTGTAGCCAAAACTCTTTAGATTTCATTTTGTTCAACAAATAGTTAACACAAAAAATGGCACCAAGAACAACTTTCTCTGCCCAAGTTCGACAATCCATGATCCCAAACGCCTTGCGATCTTACCTTGCTGAGTTTATCTCCACTTTCATCTATGTCTTGGCTGCCGCCGGATCCGCCATGGCGTCTCGTAAGTTCGATCCTTAAATCATTTAATTTTGTTTACTAATAATCACAATTGCACCATTTCTGTACGTGTTACATAAATACTTCGTAAGAAACATACAAATGATACAATGATACAAATATTACTACAATTGTACAATGATTTAGTACAATCATTTTTATATCTAGTGGTTACGAGTTTATACACAAGCACTAGTTTTAATTACATTATTAACTGATGTGACATAGAGGGTGATTTATTATTTATAGTTAGTTGTATTTGATACAATGATTAATTGGCTATATTTTGATTGTGTGTACGTATATCATTTGGCCGTGTCATGTTATTTATAATTTTGTAATTTGTAGGGAAATTAATGCCAGATGCAAGATCAGATCCCTCTAGCCTGGTGGTTGTAGCCATAGCAAATGCATTTGGCCTAGCCTCCGCTGTTTATATCTCAAGTAGTGTTTCCGGTGGCCACGTCAACCCGGCCGTCACGTTTGGGAAGGTTGTAGGGTGTCACATTCCAATTCCTACCGCCCTTTTCTACTGGATTTCCCAAATTCTTGGTTCCGTCATGGCTTGCCTTCTCCTTAAGATCGTCACTGTTAATCAAGTAATTTTACTTTCAATATTTTCTACTTCCCCTCTTACATTTAGTTAAACTGAATTGTTCGGTAGATGAAATCACAACCTTTTTTTTTTTTTTGGTGTAGTTCTTTATTAAAACATTCATAATACAAACTACTACTATACACAGTTTTTACAATTTTTAAAGTTTGACAAACAAAGTTGAAACAGAAAAATTATTTTGAGATATACAAAGTATAATAAAATAATTAATGTCTCTAATTTATAAGACTAGTAGTAATTTTTTTAGAAGTTTGGTGTCTAACTAAAATACATAGTATTATAATTGCATGTATTTCTTATGCAAATTTTTAAAATGGTTATTGTAGTTCCTATACATTTTTACGTATTTCATTCGTAGTAACATGGATCTCATATACATGCATATAGATCTAGTTTATACATTTTTTCCACTTTTTTTTTTTTTTTTTTTTTTTTTTTTTTTTTGGTTTTTGGTTGCTTAGGAAATTTAAAATTTTGAAGAAAAATATAGATCTAGTTTATACATTTTTTTACATTTTTTTTTTCTTTTTGGTTGGTTAGGAATTTTAAAATTTTGAAGAAAAATATAATTGAAACTTTTCATTTTAATATTTTGTATGTGTTTTTTTTATTTTTTACATAATTCATATTTAGTATTGATGGGTTATTGGATATATTTGTTGCATGCAGAATGTAGTGCCCCATGCAATATCAGAAGAAATGACCGGATTTGGAGCATCCGTTTTAGAAGGTGTACTCACATTTGGATTAGTCTACACTGTATATGCAGCCAAAGACCCAAGACATGGTCAAATGGGCTCTATTGGACCTTTAGTCATTGGGCTGATCACAGGAGCGAATGTGCTAGCCGCTGGTCCGTTTTCGGGTGGATCAATGAACCCGGCATACTCATTTGGGGCGGCTGCTGTTGGTGGGAGCTTCAAGAACCAAGCAGTCTATTGGATCGGACCTTTGCTTGGTGGCGCGGTTGCTGGTCTGTTGTATGACAATGTGGTTTACCCGCCTCATGATTCGGATCCTCAACGGTGTGGCCAAGAGGGGCCTCGAGTTTGAATGGGACTAGCTAGTGTTAGTGTTTATTTGACTTAATTAAGAATTTATTTGGCCTTTGTAACCTCATTATCAAACCTAAGATAATCTCTATTGGTAGTTCTTATTAGAGATATCCTATTTTATTGTGTGGTTTGTACTTATATAACATCTTAAGATTGTTAGCATGTAATAATGTAATAGGCATAAGATTGTGATGTTTATGTTTAACTTATTATAAACCTACATAGTTTTATATAGGCCTTTCACTTTATTTTATTTATTTCGTGTAATCTTAATTTTAACTAATTATGTCTCCATGTTGTAATTATATTGCTATCGTAATATGCATCAAATTGAAAATTAAAATAATTATTTCAATGAATTGATATATTTTTTTTAGAAGAATGAATTGATAGATTTTCACCTAACAATTTGGCAAATAATTGTAAAGTCAATCAGGGCTAAATTAAGTTTGACCAATGTTGAAGCTTAAGAGTTAAGACTCGACATTGAAAAGAAATTTAACCCAATTATTCTCAACCCAAAATAAATGAAAAAGTGAAGGAAACAAGGCCTCAATGAAGTAATCTGTTGATTAGGTTTCAAAAAAAAAAAAAAAAAAAAAAAAAAAAAAAGTAATCTGTTGATTAAGCTTGTAAACATAATTTTCAAAATATTTAATTTGTATGTTGTTGATTAAGCTTGTTTAACTAATATATGAAAATTTTAGTTTGGATTTTATTTATTTATTTTTTCTATTTTTTAAAAGAACAAAAAAAAAAAAAGCTATGAAGCCATTCGCATGAGTAGAATAAAAATAGATTTCCAACAGTAAACATTTAGGACTCGTTTGGTTGCAAAGGAAAACTTCCCATAGTAATTTACAAATTTATATTATGGGAAGTTAATTTCGCTAATCTTATACCTAGAGTTGGTAAATTAATTCCCACATTGTGTGGGGAAATTAAAATTCCAATTTCCTCCACTTTGCAAAATTTTGGAACCAAAGAATCGATATTTAGGTCATGTTCACTTCACCTTAAAAAAATAAGATTCAACAAATTTAAAATAATTTCAGTACAGTAAAAAATAAGTTCAGTTCAGTTAAAATAAGTTCAGTTCAGCAAAAATAATTTCAGTTCAGTAAAAATAATTTTGTTCAGTAAAATTCAGTTCGATAAAAATAATTTAAGTTCAATAAATATAATTTCAGTTCAGCAAAAATAATTTCAATTTAGTAAAAATAATTTCAATTCAACAAAAATATGGTGAAGTGAAAAAAAAAACTTTAATACGAGTTAATTTTTAGGAATTTTGAGTGGCTACGTAAAATTTGTGCAACCAAAAAAGGCCTCAAATACGGATGCCCGATAGGCCCATACATGTATAAATATATTTGTGTATCGTATAACCCGAAACGGACCCCGTTGGATAGTTGGGTAATTTTATTTCTTCCCAATTTTCTTATGTTTTGCGTAATTTATGCTTTTCTCTCTCCTCGACCTCATAAACCCTACCTTCATTACCAGTTCTTCCCTCTTTCTTCAATTAACTCCTGCAATCTTCTAATTAATTCTCATCTCATCAATTTCGAGCTCTAATTATCTCAAATTTTGTCCATGGATGCTCAGAGAGCGCTTCTCGATGAACTTATGGGCGCAGGTAATTGAATCAGTAATTTAATTTCCTTATTTTGTTGAAATTCGATTCAATTTGACTTCAATTCATGTAAAAGTTATGAAATTGGCTGAATTTTAACCTTAATATTGCGTGATTTCAGCTCGGAATCTGACTGACGAAGAAAGAAAGGGTTATAAGGAGATTAAGTGGGATGATAAGGAGGTTTGCGCGTCTTATATGGTTCGATTTTGCCCTCACGATCTCTTCGTCAATACTCGCAGTGATCTTGGTTCGTCTTCGTTTCCTTTGGTTGTTTCTTTATTGCTTGTTCTATTGTAATTGTGTTTAGAAGAAGATTTTAGGATTGTTTGATTGGTAATAATGTAATATAGTACTGTATTATCTAGTGGGTTTATCGCGCACTATGAGACCGAGATTTTGAATATCAGTTTGAATTAATCGTCGCATATACTATAGTGGTCATCCGAAAAATGTTGCCACCTCCTCTAAAGTATTATTATTGATGATAGGATTGATAGTCTTCTTAAGATGCCCTAAGATTGAGTGACCTGGGAAGGGGTTGTGGCAGTGATTTGGCTATAATGTCTGGATGGCGTGGGTGCAGAGTAAATTCACTACTTTGTGCTATTGTGATGAATGATGATATTTTTATTTTTGGGGGGTGGGGGGCGGGGGGGAGGGTTGAATGTATGATGATATAAGCTTAAATTACGGCACTAGTTTATGATAGATGTATCCCTTTCAATGAATTTTATTACTTCCAACAAACAATGCTGAGGTTACAATTATTTTACATGTAATGCGATCGGTAAATATTATATATGGCTCTTAAGCAGCTCTTATATTGGATTAGGGGGTGTTTTAGTTATTTATTGAAGAATGGATTTTAATTGGTTTTTTAAAGTTGACAGTAAATAAGTCTTGATGTTTTTTTGATTGTTTGGCTATAAGGTTTCATTAATTAAACTATGTGAACTGTGAGATGTGCATGTGCATCATCTTGTTACATTACTGTTGTTAAGATAATAAAGTTTTGTTGGTCTTAGTTGTATTATGATGGTTTTCCCTTTTTGTAATTTTGTGTATATCTGTGCTTCAGGGTCATGTCCAAGGATTCATGACCAAAAGCTGAAAGAGAGGTAATGGATTTTTCTATATTGTTATTAAGAGATTTTTTGAGGGATTTTGGGAAATAAACTATGTGAGTATGTGGAGTTATGATGCTTGCTTGTATTAGGTGTTTGATTGTATGTGAGGATGCCGTTTGAGTAATTAAATCTTGGCTCTGCTCTTGGAGACTGTATAATTATTATTGATAACTTTTTTTATCTGTTTAAAAGTAAGTTACTTCCTTTATATATTTGGTGTAGGATGGGATTTTAATTAGGAGTTTCTCAGGTGCTTTGCTAATATGACATATGGAGGTCTGGATGTTACTTGGTTTACTCTTTGAGGTAACTGATTTTAATATTTTTCAGGTAGATCCTTTGGAGAGAAGGAAATTTGTATCTAGTGTTAGATATCTTAAAACTGAGTTTCTATGGTGGATGAGTAGTTAGATACCTCTATATGTTGTTATATGCTTATAAGTAGTTGTCTAGTATGTAGTATATGTTATGAATGTAGAGGCAGGCTAATAGCAAAGCAATTGTTTCTGCAAGTGCTTACATGAAAACTTGTATTTTAAGTACTACGTATACCAGTAGCATTCTACTGTAGTACAGTGTAGTCCTAAACCCTACATGTGACTTCTAACCTTTTATTTCCTTTTTGTATACAAAGTAAATATACAATTCTGACAGCAGTCAATTGTGTCCATTTCTAAGGGGTCCTGATTTGCTGTGTGCATACTTGGTAACTCTTTTTTTTTAAATCAATTTGTTTGATCTATGGAAATTTTCATTGGTAAATTTTGAGTGCAATTTGGAGAATCTAGACTTGGAGGATAATTATTGTGTCTTGTCATTCCTGATATGTTTTGTTTGCCCTTCATTGCTTGCCTAGAATTTGGAGATATTATCCTTGCTTATTTGGTTAATTATCACTTGTGTAGGTTAATCTATTGCTTACAACATATTCTATTCTTGCTCTTTTCTCATCGTTTTACTTAGCTATTACCCTCTTGTCTGCTTCCATCTCTAATATGTCCTGTAATTTGGATGTTTAGCTTCGAGAATTCTCCAAGGCATGACTCTTATGTCCCACGCTTTGAGGCTGAACTTGCTCAATTTTGTGAGAAATTGGTGAGTCTTTCCTTGCATTTTTATTTTCTTGGCTGCTTTGACTCTTTTACTTTTGATTAGAGCCTCTCATTCTATATCATATCTGGGCTGTGGACTTTGTTGATTTTGTGTTTCAGGTGGCAGACTTGGATAGGAAAGTTAGACGTGGGAGAGAGCGCCTGGACCAGGAGGTCGAACCTCCTCCACCTCCACCTATTTCTGCTGAAAAGGCTGAGCAGCTCTCTGTGTTGGAAGATAAAATTAAAAATTTACTGGAACAAGTAGAGTCGCTGGGAGAAGCTGGCAAAGTTGATGAAGCAGAAGCATTGATGCGAAAGGTCATTTCTTTTGAGGCTTATGTCATATTAACATTTCAAAACACTAGGCTTTTCAACTTTTGTATTATTGGCTCCATAACATGTGACTATGTGAATATTATTGTTCTGACTCAATATTCTGAGCCTTGTTGGTTCTGTCGCTCACTTTTTGTTATCCTCTTTTATTTATATTATTATTATTGTTATATCTGAGTTTCTGTCATCAATGATTGATAAGCATTGATGGTGATAACATCTGAGAAATTAATCTTGCAGGTGGAAATTCTTAATGTTGAGAAAACTGCGTTAACTCAACAGCCTCTGAGTGCAGCAACAATGTTGACACAGGAGAAAAAGATGGCACTATGTGAAATTTGTGGTTCATTCTTGGTAGCCAATGATGCTGTGGAAAGAACTCAGTCTCATATTACTGGCAAGCAGCACATTGGATATGGCATGGTCCGTGATTTCATATCTGAATACAAGGTTTGAACTCTCATTTCTTCATTCAACAACCTGTTCATGTTACTCAGTTATTGGATATATTTCTCATTTTACATATTTACTATTCTTTACCAGGCAGCTAAAGAGAAAGCAAGGGAAGAGGAAAGATTAGCAAGGGAGAAAGACGCAGAAGAACGTAGGAAGCAGAGAGAGAAGGAAAATGAGAGCAAAAGCAGAAGAAGCATCTCCAGTGAGAGGGATCGTCATCGTGATCGTGACAGGGAGTATAGCCGAGACCGTGAAAGATCACGAGATTGGAACAATAGAGGTAATCGAAATGACGGAAGAGGAATGGACCGAAGGAGGCATGATGATTATCGTAATGGAAGGGATGGAGGGGGGAGGATTAGGAATTATGGCCGTGAACGCGAAACAAGCAGGTCACGTTCACCTGTTAGGCATGGCCACCGTAGGTGACCTAAGAGTCCTGTTTGCCGGTATTAGTGGCCAGTGGGTTGTGTAGATAAACGATGATCTTAAACCTACTGAGGTAGATGCTTTTATATCTCAAGATGTTTTGTGTGTCTGTTTTCAAGGTGTTGCATTGCAGTCTTATTGGGGGTTAAACTTCTTTTTTTATTGTCCCACAGTGTTGAGACTGTACTGTCTCCTCTCAACAATCTTATTAGAGGTCAAAGGGATTGAGGTAGGTAAAACTTCATCGTTGTAATTTCCCCTACAGTTAATTGTAGTTTTGTTGGATTAAATGCTTTGGTACTTGGTCGACTTTGAAACAACTTTTAGTCTTGCATTTTCTGATCATGCTGGGGGTTCTCAAGAAATTTGCAACTGTGCTGCATGGCTTGTGTGCCAGTGTTAGTAAGGTAACTTTCTGGTTCAGAAAATTAGTTACTCGGTATTTTCTGTATCTTAGGTGCTAAATCTGCATGACCTTTAAACTTTT